CCAACCTAATAGCGATGGCCTCCAACCTAGAAGGAATGGCCTCCAACAAAATAGCCAACCTAGAAGGAATGGCTTCCAACCGGCAGGTGATTATGGGTGAGGACCATCCTGTCCAGGCTAGGCGGTGCAAACAGACAGACATGGCGTTTGCATGCCTTGCTTTGAGTTTGGAGTTCAGTTTGGAGATTGGAACGTTCAGTTTGGAGTTTGCATGCCTTGCTTTGTTTGGTCCTTATTGGGTGTTCGATTGCTTTCATACTCCCTTCTAATTGGCCCTGCAGATGATGCCTCCACAGGCCAGGCTTGTTGTTGACAGAGGCATAATAGCTGTTTGCAGTCAACAGCCTAAACGCCTAAACAGCTGAATGGTTCAACTTTGGACATGCAGGCCTTACTTGCACATATTTCACATGCCTTGGCCCTGCAACTACTGTACAACAGTTGACTCTTTGGACAAGCAAATGAGGGACTTTGCTGGTGGAGTGCTGTGCCAGGTGGTCGGAACCATGGCACCTCCCATGCAGGTCTGGGAGACGTGATACCAGGTCAAGAGACGTGCTGGTAGCTACTTGGGTAGCTGTTTGGTTCGATATATATATATATAATATTTTGGACTCGTGAGTGACTTATGATCTACGTCAATTCTTTTGAAGAGCATCAGTCGGTCATGGACCATGGAGACCTTTGGTGTTGCAGGCGGCTCCGGTCACCATCCCACAGGCTAGGTGATTCATTTCAGCGCTTTGCAATGTGGATTTGACAGAACTCACCTTGTCAGGCGTCTGTATCTGCTGCCCCCCCTGCCATTCAGGTCAGAGAGTGGAAGAGAGACGCAAAACTGGAGAGCACAAATCTAACTGGCAAATCAGATCATTCTCATACGACTCATATTCATCACTGCTTCCAATACCTGAACAGCTGCTTCCTCAGGAGCCTGTGCAGACCAGTGCATGACGAGGCCCTCATATTGACATGAGCTGGAGCATGTCCTTGCTAGTAGCGTCCTTGCTCCTAGTAGTAAGTAGTAAGGCCAGGAGCCCCTAGTAGCGTCCGATCGCTCCTAGTTGTGCTGCCCAGGCCGAAGATGATGTTTTCCAGACTTTGGGGGAACTCCGAGCATCGCCGTTGAGAGCCTTGGCGGCTTTCACATTTTGGGTGCAAGGAGCGGGAGCTCTCAGTGTGCGGAGATTCCTACACACTGATCAGTGCAAACTAATTCGTTTCTTTTTGCGTGAGGGCCAAGACATCACAGCCTCACTTTTTGCTTTCTTACAGCGAGATGCGTTTTCACCACATGAAAGCTTGGATCACTCCTATATAGATGGTTTTGATATGTTTTGAAGCTTATCGTATAGTGTTCAAGAGATCGAATTGGAGTGGTCGCTTCGCTATCATGACAGACGTATTTGATGTCTGCTTTCCATTTTGGGAGCACCTCTGCCTGGTCCTGTGGGTAGGCTTGGGCATTGCTTGTGGGAGCTGGAGAACTCGCAATGATTTTCTCCCGCATTTGGCAACCAGTGTAGTAGGTGGCCTTGTGCCGCCTAAGGTTCTTCCCGTGGTATCATAAGATCGCTTCAGTCACTATCAATTTTCTTGGTGGCAAGCATCAGCAGCCAATGCCGTCGAAAAGGTTCTTCTGCATGGTGATCTGCATGGTGAGCACTTTCGTTATATTCTTAGGTGTACTGGAGGTTGTAGGGACATTTTCTGGCTTGAGGTCTTCACAGAAGACTTGGACCCCATGGAAGTTTTCTTTCATTCCTCCCTACATGCTGCTGTCATTTGTGAGCTCGGAGCACAAAGTCTGCTCAAGTGCACAAGCAGAAGTACAAATATGTCCTAAAGTTCAAATGCGGTAGTAACAACCGATTCAGTCAGCGAGGTTCTTCCAAGAAGCTTCCAGACCCTGGGAGGAAGAAACCCATAGAATAAGTTTTGCTTCTTGCCTGGTGCATTCCAACTTCAAAACGCAGTTGGCTTCTGCAAGCCAACTGCAGTCATCACTCGACTATTCTCTTGTAATAGGTCGTGGGCTCTTCAGGCCGAGGCAGCAAGCTCCGATCTCCGATACATTGCCGACTGTTTCCATGGTGGCGCGCCGCAAGCCAGCTTCAGTCAAGCAAGGAGGTGAGGTGAAGAACTGAAGTGTGCAATGACCTGCGGTAGCGTACACAGACTGTTCCATCGAAGCCTTCCTCTTCCTTTGACTCCGCAAGACACTTGCAAGGTCACCGGCTATCCCAGGAGCAGCTTACCGGTGGAGCCTTTCATGGTATACTGGATTCCAATGGCAGCTTTTTGCAATACTGGTCGCGCGCTTACGAATTTTGACTCTAGTTGAGACTCATCAACCAATACGGAAAGGGAAACAGATTGCATATATCGCTAGTAGGTTGGAGTCATATATATATATGTTATATGTTTGCATTTTCGCATTTTGATATAGGAACTGCAGAGGATTTTGTTCTCAAGCCTTGCGGCTTAATGCTTTAGTGAGCAGAGCTGTTCGCTGCACCTGCTGAAGGACTGTGAATCCACGCCCAGATTTAACGTAGTTTAGCTTGTCCAGGAGTTGCGCAGCCTTAAAGGCTATTTTTGCCAAAGTGCATTTGAAACGACACAATTGACACTTGTCACGAAAGCTAGCACCAGCTAGCTGGAGTTGTCCTTGCTTTAGCAAGTGAGGGGCTGCTCCCCCCTGGGACGCCTCTGGGACACCTCTTGGACACCTCTTGGGAGGTTTTGGCATACGATGCAACAGATTCAACAGATTCACAAGCTAAGGTTGGCTGTGTCATTGCTGTTCGTCTGTCTTACATGTTCACAACGTTTTACCTCATGAGCGAGACCTTGTGAACCATCCCTCCAACAGCCCCATGCCTATGAAAAAAGATTTGCCTCACTCCGCTTGATGTCCCACCAGTCTATTGTCACTGGACGGCGCTGTATGCTTCGCCTCCACTGACACGGATGCACCCCTGCTAGCTTTCGTCACCTACCCTCGGCCTCAAGTTGATTGTGCCAGGAATGTCGGCAACGACACCTTCGCAGAGCTTGATGGTGAAGGTGAGAAATTGTTGGGACTTTTTCAGTTTTCCCTAACCTCTAGGAACCAAATTAGTCAGGCGAGCCTGAGCCCTTCTGCGTCCCAGCTACTAGTAGCTTCCTTGCTACTTACCCCTTGCGGCTAGCTCCTCAGGCTTCTTCAAGCCCTCTCCCCTACCCCCAAAATAGCAAGTATAAGAGGAGCTTCGGTCCAGGGTATGCTTCCGGGACCTACAAGTTCGTTTGCTTCGCTGCAGGGCCTGCCCGCCCAGTCGACGGAAGAGACGGTAAAGGAACTCCTTGGCAAGTTTGGAGCTATCACCAGTGTCAAGGCATGGCACCTGATGTAGGCATGAAACCTTTCTCTACTTGCTGCATAAACCTAAAGTTTGAGACTTTTCTTTGCTCCTTTACCAGATGGCAATCTTCCATTTTGTAAAAGTACCTTCGGTCTTCGTTGTTCGGAGTATGACCGTCCACTTTGTTCTGAGCTTTTGTTGATGCGCTGGTGAGCTTGGGTCATTGTTTCAAGTTGGCTTTGCTTGAAAGGTTATTTTCTAGCAGTGCACCCACATGTAGCCATGTTGCTCAGGTCTATTTAGGAGTTTTGGACCAAGCTGGAAATTGATTTTGTCATCCCCTGGAGGTGTTACCAGTTGCTGCGGGAAAGAGCACCGCCGCTGGTTTCCTTTCCGTAGCGAGTCTTGAAGAGGTGCAATAGCAGTTTAGTTTTCCCCATCATGTGTGTAGCTGCAACGTCAAGGCGAGATGGATCGTTGAGAACATCAACGGGCTGCTCAAATGCACTTCAGCATGATGGGCAGTTGCAAGATTGAGCTGAAGAATTGATCCCAGAATTCTTGTTGGCAGCACACTGAGTATTTAGGGAGATTGGCGGCCAGTGGCCTTTACACGTGCTGAGCTGAGCTTAAGGATTGAGCTGCCAGGCGTTGGTGGCCCTTTACAGATCATCTACGCACCTCCTCGCGATCCAGCAAAAGGCTCGCTGGGGATGCTAGAAGGCTGCAATGGACTGACGTGCTGACGTTATGTTTTTTCTTTATTCCACAGGTGGTAAGTTTTGTGAGACAAGGATTGATGCCCGTCTTGAAGATATGGCTCGGGCCATACTTACAACAGGTCTTGGAGACATTGGCTTCAACAACAGGACGACGGACGATGCCTGTGTGAAAGTCTGATTGTGATGAGTGCACCATGTCAGCCTGCGTTCTACGGTGCAGGTGGAAAGGGACTGAAAGGTGGAGGCAGAATGGATGCCCCAGGCGAGTTGTAGCTTACGAATCGATTTCATGCAGAGCTTACTTCACGCTCCTCATGCATGCCTCCTGGTGAAAAAGGTGACAGCTGTTGTTAAGTTTCCCTAAAAATCTATATAGAAATCAAATCATTAGTGCGAGCGCTTCCTTGAGGAAGCGCGAGCTATCCTGCGTCCATACTAGTAGCTACCTAGCTACTACTAGCTACCTCTCCCTTATTTAATTAAGTAGGTGCCTGGTGCCTACTTAGTTAAGTAGGGAGGAGGGGAAGCGGGCTAAACAACAAGGAAAGAAAGGTGCCTTGAGCTACGAAAACACCTTGAGTTGTTGGGTGAAGCAGGCTTCGTGGATTTATCCGCAGGTCCGTATGGCATGTCACCTGACTACTCGACCAGAATGTCCAGCTTCCTCCAAAGCCGAGGCGATTGCGCAAGGTCAAGACACGCAAGACAAGCAACAGACTTCCTCCACACACTGTTTGAGGGTAACAAAGCTCGTGCAGAAAATTCCTCGGCATTTGCTCCACTAGAAAGGTTGTTTTGGGCACGTCCGAATACCGAAGCGTCCGAAGCGACCGAAGTCCGAAAAAGTATCCACAGGTCACATGAGTCGTTGATTTCGTTAACATTAGCTGTAGGGTGTCGTGGGTGAAACAACAATCATGTGCATGGATCGGCCAGGTGAAATGGGTGGCATGGTGGACTATGGAATGGGTGGCATGGCTGGAATGGGAATGGGCAGCAAGGGCTGGGGCAGCGCGATGGGCGGATTCGGCGGCAAGGGCTATGGCATCGATGGTGGCATGTATGGCGGAATGGCAGGCCTGGCAGGCGGCATGTGTGGTATGGGAAGCATGGGTTCAAGTAGAAGAAAAGGAATACATAACGTGACAAGAAGTGGTAGGAAGCTGGCCATCACTTGGAGGTCGGCTGATAGACGTTTCAGAAGATCCACAAAGGAATCCTTGCTTTCTCTTGGGTCTAATTTGTAAGTACTCACGTGCTAGCTGCTAGCTACGGGCCGTTTGTGGCCCACCCCAAAGAAAGGATCGGATACGCCAAAAGACGTCTTGTTGCCAGGTGCTAGCGCTGGCATCAAAACCAAGATGTGCAGCTTCTTCGACTCTCGAGGCTTTTGCGCAAAGGGAAATGCATGTGCCTTCGCGCATGGAGCTGATGAGCTTGGGAAACCTGTGAGATCCGGAGAAGGCGGAGATGGTGGACTTTGGAAAACAAAGATGTGACACTTGGCTTCTAAAGAAAACATTCCGACAGTTTGTCAGCACAGAGAGTCAGGTCAGCGAGGGGGAGAGAGAAGTTGGGGAAGTTTGTGCTCCATTTCTCGCTTTGTCCATAGGTAGAATCCTTGTGTGATGAAATGTACACAAATGACATGTATACAGTTGAGTCTTCCTAAAAATCTAGGAACCAAATCATTAGTGCGAGCGCTTTTTCAAGGAAGCTACCCTCCGCCCTCAGGCTGGGGAAGCTTCCTTGAAGAAGCGTGAGCTATCCCACGTCCATACTACTCGTAGTAGCTAGTAGCTACCTCTTCCTCTTAGCGGCCTACCCCCCCGCAGGCTTTTAAACAGCACATTTCTTGCTTTGTCCGTAGAAAGCTTGTGTGATCCTCTGAGGTAGGTTTTTTGGGCTGGGAACCTGTCAGAAGGGTTCCAACTGCAACTTTGCCCATGCGCCTGACGAGCTGAAAAGCTAAAGCAGAGGTAAAAGTTGTTGAAAACCATGCGAGCCATTGTACCGCCAAACTTGCTGGACTCATGCGAAGGTGGTCATTAGTCTTAGTCTGGTTCCTTTTTGGCATTGACGCAGGCCCTACTACACAGAAAGGTTTGCCAGACCAGCACTTCTAAAATGACAGAGTCACATTCTGCTATCAGCTAGCTGTTTGGCAGTACGATGCTTGTACTGTACATGCCTGGTGTGCTTATGCCACCGTTGCACAAAGTTTGCCTTGGAACGCAGCTGTTGGATTTGGAGGAAAAAACTTGAGAACGCACAGTAGGTTGATAGAAAACCCATTTGCACAAAAAGGGTTTTTGTGTGTAGCGGGCCCGCAGGCCAAGCCAGATGTTCTTGTAGCAAGACTAATTTGTGATGGATACCATTTCCAAACAGCTGCGCAAAATGGACCGGTGCACAGCCGGCACGATTCTATTCAAACAGTCCATATAGTTCAAAAGAGATGCAATTGTTGTTTTTTTTTACGGTTCCTTTTTTCGTCGAGCAAGGCCTGACTGCTCCTGTTGAATATTCGCGGTTCTTGGAAACACAGTCGAGTCTGCTTGTAAGCAAGGCCTGACTTTGCCGGGAGCAAGGCGGATTCCTGGCTGCGTCGCCTGCAAAGCTTGCCCTGGGGCCAGGGTAAAGTGAAGGTGCTTCTTGGCAAAAGAGGATTTGTTTTCAGACGCAAAATATCTTGGCTATTTGGTGTCTATGCTGGCATAAGCTCTGGGCTTTTGCCTCGGCTCCAGGTTCGGGAAGGACTATGATGAGCCAAGGCTTACTTGCTACTTCGGCGTCGCTCAGCTGCAGTGGGTGCGGAGCAGCTTTTCAGGGGCCGCTGCACCGTAGAGACTGGCGTAGAGCAGTCCATAAACATGGGTATGTGGAGCAGTTCACAAGTCTTTGTCTCTAAGTTTTAAGCTATAGAGGTTCCTACTTCTCAATGACTGGGTGGCTGATCGGCATTTTGGTCCACTGCTGCCTTATCTCCTTACATGTCTCCTCACGTGTTTGGCATTTTGTTTGCCGCTGCTGCCTTGTCTCCTTACTTGTCTCTCCTCTTCTCTGGATTTCTTTTTGCGAATCGATTGGTTATTTGTTATTTGTTTGAGAAGTTCTGTTGTCAGCGTTAGTTGCTATTTGGCGTCTATGCCGGTGTAGTTTGTTGTGTTATGCTTAGCGGTGTTTGATGTTTTTTTTTGGCATACACCAAGGAAAAGGCGTACAAGTACTCTAACCGAATCATTGAGCCGTTGCCTTGGTCGCGCTCTCCGGTTCTCCAGGCTCGACGTTTGTTGTCTTTGGATCTCCACAGGGCCACTGCAGTCTGCTGGGTGCTGCTAGGAGATCAAGGCACTTGTGGAGAACATGACGGGCGAGAGCTTCAACTCTGTTCTTTGCAATAGATACAGGAGGGAGATTTTGGAGTTCCAGTTGACCATGGCCGGAGTCAAGCACGATAGACAGACTGCAAACGAACTAAATGTTGCTAGTGCCTTTAAATGCTTGCTATCAGGAATGGGGAAGATGCGATGGGCTGGTTCCTAGACTCTTCAAAATTAATTGGACCAACACTTGTCCACTGCAATAATCAATGGCGTGAAATCTGAAATTGGCACAGTATGGTATGTTCTTTCGACCTGCAAACCTGAGGCACTCAGACAATGAACAGGTCTATGGCCCAAAGCCGACCATTGCTTCGGTTTCGGCCTCAGCTCACCGAAAGGAACCAGTGGGTTTTGGGCGAAGGTAATTGAAGCCGTGTTCTTTGTTCAGACATGTAAGGAGTATGGCGTTCCACTTTTGTATGTTCATATGACCACATGAGTAAACACAACACCATACGCTTTTTCACCGTAGCATTGGGCTTGAAGGGGATGCCCATTTGCGCCACCTGCCAGAAGTGGTCACTTCTGGCTGGTGACTGCTCGGTGTGCGTCTCTGCACATCGGCTGGTAGCTGCAGCAACCGGCCCCCCGGCTGCCTCCTACGCAAGAGGCACAGTTCAAGGTCACTAAGATCTTGGACGGGGCTTTCTACTCCATCGGAAGGCTCCTGCCGGAGGAGGACAGCCCTGAAAAGGGAGCGGCGGCTCCCAGCGGAAGTCCGGGAGCGGACAACAAGAAGGGAGAGGCATCTCCCAGGCTACCAGCCGAGACAAAGGAGGAGGTAGTCGAGGGCAACGCAGAGGAAACCAAGCCGAGCGCGAACACTACAGTTGAGGAGAAGGGGGTATCCCCTTATTTGCAGTCAAAGGAGGAGAAGGAGGAGAGTACAAAGGGAGTTGAGACCACTCCCAGGTCTACAGAAGAGAGAAAGCCATTGCCGAGGAGAAGAGAGGAAGAAAAAGAAGGTACAAAGAGGCCCAGATCGCCCAAACGAAGACAAGAGAAAGACAAGAGGAGGCGAAGGAGAGGAGATTCAAGATCAGCAGAGGTAAGCGGCTCAGAGGTCCGCAGGCAGAAAAGGGAGGCGACAGACTCCCAAAAGGAGAAGAAGGAGAAAGCAGAGGAGAACACAGCAAAGGATCCCGCGATTGAGAGAGAACCCTATTTGAGACCGAGGCCAACTCAGAGGAGACCCAGGTCACCTCACACCCCTGAGCGACCCCCGCCAGAGAGGTCATCAGGATCGAAAGGAGGAGGCAAAGGTAAGCCACAAGGTTCAGGTTGGAGAGGCCCGGTGCCCTATTCCAGCCATCCGAGGTGGACACAAGGGACCAACAAAGGGATTACAAAGAGGGCAAAGCAAGAGCTTCAGGATAGGAAGAGTCGCGGCCGGGGCGGCCGATACCATTGGTAAGGGAAGCAATGGCTCCCAAACTACGAAGGCCGGCAGCTGCCGCTCCTCGTATCCGACCTCGACGAAGACCCGCTGCGGAAAGGGAGGAGGTCCTCCCAGTGGAGAAACTCTATTCTTGGTCTGACCTTACGATGGACAAGCTGGCAGATCTGGATGTTATTGAGTTGGACAGGGCTTCATATTATAATGCCTCAGTGAAGGTGGCTGGAAGGGTCATTGCCGTGCATCCTGGTGAAGGGCGCATGGACTTTGTGATCACTGGCACTCAGAGTGAGCGCATCATGGAGACCTTCGGCGGTGGTGAGGACAGGAGGATTTCGGTACATCTATGCAAAGACAGCTGTGCCCAGTTGGAGACGGGAAGGATGCTGATGCACGCTCGGGGCTATTGGGATTGCGCAGTAGCTCCGAAGGAGTGGCAGATGAACTTGTCCGAGAAGGCCGTCGCAGAACTCGATGGGTTGTCTTCGTTGAGGAAGCTAGCAGAAGAGCGAGGCAAGGGAAGGGGAGGAGAGAGGCCTCCCAGACCTGAAGGTGGTGGAGCAGAGGACATTGAGGAGGACAAGAAGACCGGGAAGGAAAAGAAAAAGAAAAAGAAGAAGGAGAGAAGAGGTGAAAAAGAATGGGAGGAGAAGCTCGCCTCGCAAGAGAGCTTGGAGGCGCTTGAGAAGGGCCAGAAGACCGCTCGGGCCATCTTCGCCCACACCTGTTTGGACCCCAACGTCAGCCGTCGCAAGAGGTTGATGAGGAAGGCCCGCAAGATGAAGAAAAGGGGCGATAAGAAGCGAAAGCGGTCAGATAGCTCGGAGGAGGATGAAAGCAGCTCCGATTCCACCAGCGAAGAAGAGGAGAGTGAAGATGGGGGACCCCTATTTGAAGAAACGAGAAAGGTGAAGAGACTTCATGAGAGGTTTCCTGGTGCACTGACCCTTCAAGCGATCGAAAACATGAGAGAGCACCTCCTGAACGCCAGAGGAGACATATACAGTAGCGCCAAGGAGCATTTGGGGCCGATCTTCGCCATCTACGCGCACCAACACCTGAAGCAGCTGGCATCGCCTGTGCTTTGGCAGGAGATCAATACAGTGGCACAGGTGAGCGACTTGCTGTTGAGAAGGAAAGTGGCTGCTGCTCTGGACGTCCTTGTCCAGCGGGCAAAATCGCTTGAGGCGACGCTCAAAGGCGGTCACTTTACCGTCTCGAGGCAGCTGGAACTGGTTGGAGCAGATCAGGTGGCGATGACGGAGGCAGGTGAGAACTACGAAGCGGCAAGGCATGCCCGCGAGGACTTCAGAAACAAGTCTATGGGGTCCAGGCCGCATGGCGTGGGAAGGAAAGGCGACAACGAGGGAAAGAATCGAGGCAAAGCTGTTCCATCTTCAGAGCCGGCCTACAGAGACAAAGGAGAGAAGGGCAAGAAAGGAAAAGGAAAATGGGAAAAGAAAGGCAAGACAGACAGTTGAAGGCCGGAAGCACTGAGGGAGGAACAGCAAGAGGAGAGAGAGAGGAAACGTCGCCAAGAAGAGACAAAAGAGATCAGAGGAAAAGGCTATGGCATGAGATAGAGGCTGAGGCAGACGGAAGAAATATAGAGGCAGAGGATGAGATAGCAATTGAGGAGTTGCTGCGGGATTGCCAGGAGAGGGCACTATGCTATGAACCTGGGGGAGTGACCGATGTTGAAAAAAATCCACGGCCAACTCCGGGCCAGGTATATGAAACCGTGGCAATGGAGGGGAGGAGCTGCGCAGGCACCTCCCAGCCGGTTGAAACTAATGCAAGGGAGACAGGCGTGGGCCGTCTCCCAGAGCAGAGGATGATGCCTGCTGGGGATCAGATGTGCAGCTTAGAGGAGATGGGAGGGGAGCTGGATGGAGGCTCCCAGTTTTGCTCGGACAACTTCGATCGGCTGCGTTTGAAGGGGAGCCCCTCGGAGAATGTAGAGAAAACGAATTTTCCTACGACGGGTCCTCGACTGGCTTTGTTACCGTGCCGAGGGATGCAGCACGAAGGGTTTGGTCCCCCATTTTGGGGGCTTGGAGTGTCAGAGGCATCGGTGAACGACTTTGAGACGTTGCGCCAATTGCTCCAAAAGAAGTGCCAGCAGAACTCAGCAGTTGTGGGAGACATGGGGCCCATTTTAGCCGCACTGATGGAAGCGTTCGAACTACAGTTGAGCACGCGTTGCGGTCAGTCCTCGGATGGGATCTTTCCTCTCCCCCTTCCCTCGGATGTAGGGCTTGCTGGGTCCCATGTTCCCTTTCTTGAAGCTATGATTCGTGGGTTGAACCTGCTGGCAGGGTCAAGGAGCTGTTCCAAGGGGAGGTCAAAGAAGGTTAGTCGTGAACTTGTTCTTCAACTGGAGGGTGTTCTCGCGGAGTGCGACTTGCTTAAGGAAAAGTGGGACCACATTCCGTTTCAGGAGTTCTTCCGGACCAAAACCCTGGATTATTCCGGCGAGGAGGTCAAGGTTGCTCGAAGGTTCAACTGGCAGATGGTGGAGGCAGCCCTACCTGAAGGTGTAGGTAGTTTGAGGTTGACGGACTTTTGTGAACAAGGGACGCTTGAGTACGTGGTCAACTTTGAGAAAAGCCTCCTCCCGCCTCAGGACCAGCGCATTGGAAAAGCGCCTGCGATCATGGTGGACCCCAGCGACTGGGCCGAGGTCTGCCGGGGGTTGGTTGCTCGGGGTGTGTGTGGTTTGATGAAGAGGGAGGAGCTGCACCACGTTAACGGACGACCCTTGATGAATGGTCTTTTTGCTGTCGAGAAAGGTGAGAAGGGGGTTGGACCGGATGGCACTGAATTTGAGGTCTGTAGGCTGATCATGAACCTGGTCCCTACCAATTCGATCTGCCGTAACCTTGTTGGAGATACATGCACACTACCTACGGTTGTAGGGCTGTCATCCATCATTCTTGACGACGATCAGCTCCTATTGACATCTTCAGAAGATATTCGGTGTTTCTTTTATTTATTCCAGACACCACCGGAGTGGTGGCCCTACATGGGATTTGCAAGGGAGGTACCGCGTGAGGCCCTCCCAGCGGGACATGAAGGAGCAGGGTGGCACCTAGTAACTAGAGTGCTGCCTATGGGGTTTGTGAACTCAGTCGCAATCGCCCAACACGTGCATCGGAAAGTCATTTCGCAAGCCTTGTATGCAGACACGGGTTTGGCCACCAGGCATCAGGAGATCAGGCGTGATCGCGTCAGCAGTAGGGCGGACCGCCTGTTCCGGGTGTATCTGGACAACTTTGATGAGTTACAAAAGGTTGATCGCCGAGTGGCAGGGCTGATTGAAGGAACGCCGTCTGATTGGACCTTGGCCATCCGTGAGACTTACACTACACTGGGGCTACCCCGTCGCCCAAAGAAAGCAGTCGAGCAGGCCAGCGCTGCAGAAGTTCAAGGGGCTTGGGTTGATGGGAGCAAAGGCACAGCAGCTCCCAAATATTCCAAAGTCGCTCGCTATTTGGGACTGGCGTGTGAAGCAGTCGTCGCAGGCAAGGCCACCCGGAGAGAGCTGCAGGTGATTGGAGGAGGCTTTGTCTACATTGCCATGTTCCGTCGTCCCTTGCTTTCAGGTTTGAATGCCATCTGGAGGAAGATCACCAGCATGAAGGAGGTAGGGAGCCATGTCCGGCACCTGCTGGGGAAGGATGTAGAACTTGAGTTGATCCGGTTCATCGCCCTGTGTCCGTTGGCATTCATGAATTTTCGGCTTCCGGTGTCAGGGTATGTGACGGCCAGTGACGCGTCTACGACAGGAGGTGGTCTATGCGTGTCCCGAGGTGTTAGTCCCTATGGAATGGCCGCATCACAGGCAGAGGCCAGAGGGGATATTCTAGCCCCGGATGAGATGGATCAGGTCCTCGTCATCTCCCTGTTTGATGGTATCGGCGCCTTACGGGTTGCTCTGGATTGCTTGAGGATCCCGGTTGCTGGATACATATCAGTAGAGATTGATGATGCTGCTAGCAGGGTGGTAGAATCGTTCTTTCCTGATGTGATTAGGATCCAGGACGTGGCTCAGGTCAGCCTTGAGATGGTGGCGGAGTGGTCCATGAAGTTCGCGTCGGTGTCCTTGGTGATTCTAGGAGCAGGGCCACCTTGCCAAGGCGTGTCAGGATTGAACGCAGATCGCAAGGGAGCCATGCGCGATGCCCGGTCGTGTTTGTTTCAGGAGGTTCCCAGGATTGAAGCGTTGGTAAAACGGGTATTTCGATGGTGCCCCACCTATCGGTTGATTGAGAACGTGGCCTCCATGGATGGACAGGATTGTACTTCGATGAACTCCGCCTATCAGATGGAGCCATGGCTTGTAGATGCTGGAGGGATCTCTTTGGCCAGGCGGCCGCGACTATACTGGTGTGACTGGGATATCTTGCCACAGGCAGGTTGCAATGTCGTGGAAGGGCAGGCCCGTGGCCTCCCAGTGCGAGGGACTATTTTGCTCACGGCGCAAGTGTGTGAGGACGACTTCCTGGAGGCAGGATGGAAGCGAGTGAACAAAGACGCTCCATTTCCGACATTTACAACTGCCAGACCTTCGGTGAAGCCCGGGCGCAAGCCCGCAGGGCTGGCCTTGTGTCCTGCGGATGCTGTTGCTCGGTGGAAATCTGATGCTCACAGGTTCCCACCATACCAGTACCGTGCTGAGAACTGTGTATCCAACAGCAAGGGGGACTTGCGTGTGCCATCCGCCCGTGAACGGGAGGTCATCATGGGGTTTCCTCTCGAGTATACTCGTCGTTGCATGGTCAAAGGCAAGGAAGGAACCGCTGAACACAACGATTGTCGGTTGCGCCTTCTTGGCAATTCTTGGTCGGTGCCTGTTGTTGGCGTGCTGCTCCATTCATTGTTTCGGTTGCTTGGGTGGATGCCGCCTCTGACGGTGCAGGACATTGTCAATCGTCTCGTGCCAGGAAATGCCTCTGAACTTGCAGGTTTGTTGCTGCGTGCGCCCCTTCGCCATGAAACACGGGAAACACAACCTGGGCCAGGCCTTGTTCGCAAACTCTTGGGCCAAGTGTCTGTGAAAGGGGAGGACATTCTTTTGCAGATGAACACCGATATTCCTGCCCGCTATCATCGCCTGCGGGCTTCCCTCCCAAGCAAGTTGTGGCGTTGGCGTGATGTCACTGGGTGGAGGTGGACCGGTGATCCTGAGCACATAAATGCCCTTGAGTTGCGGGCTGTCAAGACAAGTCTTATTTGGCGGATTAAGGAGTTGCATGAAGGGCCAGTGCGTTTCGTTCACCTTGTGGATTCCTTGGTGGTGTTGCACGCCCTTTCGCGAGGTCGATCATCTAGTCGAAAGCTTCGACGGACCCTGGCAAAGATTGGTGCATTGTTGTTGGCAAGCGGCTCTGTGGGTGCGTGGTCGTACGTGGACACGCACCAGAACCCTCGCGGCGGCCTGTCAGGAGAAAATGGGTAAGAAAGCCGCAAAAGTGATAGAAGGCCGTAGTCAACAACAGCGCATCAAAGTCAGGAAGCAACTTGGCACTTTGAAAGGATTGACAGTGCAGCCCCGAACTCGTGAACGCTATCAGACTTGCCTTGATAAATTTATGGATTGGCTGGCAGGGGAGGGTCTCATTCTCCCAAAGCGTGTTCAAGCCATGGACCATATTGTATCGGATTATCTTGAGTTCCTCTGGGCCACAGGGGCAAGCCGCTCAGTGGCGAACAATACCCTGGCGGCCTTGCAAGACAAGGAACCTGGCCTCAAGCGTCGCCTTGCAGGCAGTTGGAGGCTGCTAAAGGCATGGTCTACCGCAGAAGTACCACGACGAGCTCCTCCCACGACAATTCAGGTGTTGGACGCTATGTGCGGATGGTTCCTTATGAAAGAGATGCCTCTTATGGCTTTGTCCTTGCGCCTTGCCTTCTTTGGCCTTTTGCGAACGGGAGAGCTCCTGGATTTGAAAGCAAAGGACGTCTTTATCCCATCTCCCAAGGGACCGGCCGTTCTCTCCCTCGGTTTGACGAAGGCGGGCGCTCGGCAAGGAGCGGCCGAGAGCATCACCCTGCATGAAGAGTCTGTACTGGGCCCATTGTATAGGTGGAAACAAGTTGCTCGTCCCATGCAATTTTTAACACCGAAGCCTCATGCATGGCGTTCCCTGTTTGCCAACGCCATAGAGGCATTGCGACTGACCCCCTTGGAATTCAGACCCTACAGCCTCAGGAGAGGCGGGGCCACGTTTTGGTTCAACCAGCACGGATCGTTCGATCGATTGCTAGTCCAGGGGCGGTGGGCCGCCTCGAAAACCGCGCGTATTTACTTGAACGACGGACTAGCGCAGTTGGCAGACATGACACTCCCTAATTCGGCCCTGCAAGTCTATGTAAAGTTGTACCGCTCTACCCCAATGCTTGAGCCTGGGAAGTCGTGTAGACTTCCCAGGGCAGGGGGACGTGGAAGGCGTACAGGAAAATGAGAGTGGGGAGTTTTTCTCGCGACATTTTTTCGAAGAAAA